TATTAAATTGGGCCTAATATCCATATTGGGCCTAAACCTATGATCCACCACCACTAGTGGCCCATAACATCTTATTTATTAAGTCCAACAAAGGCCAAAACCCCTTTTTTCCCACAAAACTGACCAAAACCTGAAGCCCAAATGTCAATGACCCAACAGCGAACGTACGCGAGGTGTACTCCTCTGGTACACACGGTGTACTCGACCAGAGATTAAGCACCATCGAGGTGGTTGACCCAGTACACTGGGCATACTTAATTTAAGTTGGGTATATTCCATCTCTTGACAATACCTTATTAAATGCCTAATGGCTTAAGCACTTAAGTCCTAATCTCAGATCCAGAGGCCTAACATGCCTAGGGTCCATAAAGTCACGACCTTTATCACTTTAGACGACCATAATGTTCTAAGTGATTGGTCTTAATCCATTAAGACCTTATTTCTCTTGCATGGGACACTTATAGCTAATGGGACCTAATTTTTATCACTCCAAGTCCTTTCAAAAGCCTGGAAGGACAACTCTTTACGTCCATAACACAAAATACACCACTTTATGGATTTTGGGACAAAAGATGCTCCTAATAAAGTAAAATGATTAGATCTAAGCATATATGCATAAAGTTTAGAACTTTATACCTTTAGGAGCTTCTTGAGCACAAACTAACTTTAGATCTATGAGCCTGACCTTCTTCTCCAATACTTGGATGCAATGTTCTTTTCTTGAAACACTCCAATACACACACCAAGCAAGCTTACACCCACAAGGAAGAGCTAGGGTTTGGGGCAGGTCGAATGTAGGCTGTGTAGAATGTGGATAATCAGAGGAAATGATCCATAAGGGTGTTTATATAGTCTCCAAACCCTAAATATTAGGGTTTGCTCTAGACATTAGTATGCCCAACGTACCTGAGTGTACGCCTAGCGTACTAGTGCGCGCCTAGTACGCTCAGCGTACCCTTATGTACGCTCAGCGTACTCCTTCCTGACTCAAAGTGGCAACTTTAGTCCTTATACTCCTCATGACCCAACTAAAACACTCCATGGACTACAATTGGAAACTTGAAAAGTGGAGGGATTGAAATATACCTACGAAGTTCGGGGAGTTACACGATTGGAAAAGAAAAAAAGTCAAAATAAGTCAAAGTTAGACTAAAAATCAAGGCGTACGTTTCTGAAAAACGCACCGCCTCTATTGATTCATCTACGCTTCACCTGGGCGAAGCCTACCTCTTAAATCCAACCATAGACTCGGCGCCTCTAGTTCAGCCATGGTTCGCTTCACCTTAAGGTTGTCACACCCCGAAAACCGAAGGCGGAAACATTTCTGGGGCGGACTCCATGTTAAGTATCAAATCCAATGCACATAGTAAGCAAAGTAAACAACCATTACATTACATATTAGAATTTACATATGTTCAAAAATAACGTGTTAGAAGTGTTATACATATATGAACAAAAGTAGAGACGAGTCTTCTGTACGCTCCATCTTCTCCAAAAGTATTGTTGGGTACCTATCTAATATGGACCTGAGAATACAAGCAGTTTGAAAATCAGCATAAAGCTGGTGAGTTCATAAGATATTTGTTTTTCTGAAAATGTACGAGTTTCCTTTGGTTTTCTGAAAAGATTGATATTCAAGAAAATCCTATATTTTCTTATATGAAAAGTTTGATTAACTGATTTATTTCACAATTCTGGTTATGTACAATTGTTATCCTAGGAAAATCCTATATTTTCCTAAAGGTAAGTTTGATTATTGAATTTTGATGTAATGTTTGATTACCTTTCGTACTTGTTATAGTAGCTATGTATTTTGATATCCTAATGGTGTTACACTTGAATGTACCTAGATGTGTGCCATCGTATTCGTATTTCTATTCTTAATCATATTCATTTTTATATTTTTATATTTGTATTTGTATTTATATTTGTAGTCCTATTCGTGTTCGTATTCGCATTCGTATTCGTATTCCTACTCCTAATCCTAATCCTATTCGTATTCGTATTCGTATTCGTATTCGCATTCGTATTTGCAGCCGTATTCGTATCCCTATTCTTACTCCTAATACTATTTGTATTCGTATTCGTATTCGTATTCGCATTCGTATTCGCAGTCGCATTCGTATCCCTATTCCTACTCCTAATACTATTTGTATTCGTATTCGTATTCGTATTTGCATTCGTATTCACAGTCACATTCGTATCCCTATTCCTACTCCTAATACTATTTGTATTTGTATTTCGTATTCATATTCACATTCGTATTCACAGTCGCATTCGTATCCCTATTCCTACACCTAATACTATTCGTATTCGTATTCGTATTCGTATTCGTATTCGCATTCGTATTCGCAGTCGTATTCGTATCCCTATTCCTACTCCTAATACTATTCGTATTCGTATTCGTATTCGTATTCGCATTCGTATTCGCAGTCGTATTCGTATCCCTATTCCTACTCCTAATACTATTCGTATTCGTATTCGTATTCGTATTCGCATTCTTATTTTAGGATTCTTATTCGTTCTATTTCTAGTTATACTTTCGTATTCGTTATATTCCTAGTTGTACTTTCATATTTGTTCTATTCCTAGTTGTACTTTCGTATTCGTTCTATTCCTAGTTGTACTTTCGTATTCGTATCCGTATTAGATCTAATTCATAATTAGTATGAATTATTCGTAGATTATGAAATATAATTTAGATTGTAACATTTTATCAAGAAATCTATGATTAGTCTGAAAGCTAACTTCGTAATTCGAACTATTTGATAAACACAGTTTTTGATATTAAAACATACAGAATAAAAACAATTGAACTGAAAATAATAAGTTTGAGTACAAGATTTCCTTGTACTTTTGCTTGTATTCCCCCCCCCCCCCCCCTGAAAACAGTGAAAACATTTGAAAAATTGTAGGGGTATGAACTCACCAGTTGAGGAATGTGTCGGTTTGGATCCTAACATCAGTTCTGGGTTTGCAAACACACAAGATTCCTATGTATTATGACATGATACATATTTGTATTTAATTAGGACTTGATTATTTATTTTCTAAGGACATACACTTCTAGTTGCGGAAACACTCTATTACAAGTGTTTGGAGGGACTCGGGTGGCATTTGAAGCCATGTAAGGCTTGGATATGGAGTTTACTCTTCAAGAGTAAACTCATACTAGATTTTTCAGCCCTAAGTCCCATTCCCCATGAGTTTACGGCCGTAAACTCATGGTGGGGTGTTCTATGGTGCAAAATGGCTTCATATTACTTGAGGGAAAATTCTAGGGTTAGTTTCAAGGCATGGAAAAGTGGTTTAGACAATTTAGGGACCCTTTGAGGAGTTTACAGCAGTAAACTATATGTTTACGACCGTAAACTCTTTTACACATACTCAAAATGTTTCTTGGTGGTCCTCCTTTAATCACATGTGATTTTAACAATATATACAAGCCTTAGGATGAATTTTGGGCACAATTTGACTCATCTAAATGAGTTTACAGCCCTGGAACCTTTCCTTGGTAGAGTTATGGCCGTAAACTCTCAAATGAAGGGTTTTTATTATGTTTAAGGTCCCCAAACTGGTTGTGGTTGATTCTAGGATTTATTCCAAGGCTAATGGTGTGTTTAAATGACTTTTAAACACTTGGTTTTGAGTTTACTCTCCATGAATGAGGAGTTTACGGCCCAAGCTTGTTCTTGGGTAGTAAACTCATGTTTACTCCTCAAAAATTATGTTTAAGGTGTTCTAAGTCTGACTTGGTAAGCCATATAGTCATATCTAAGTCCCAAAGTTGGTTTGGAAGGGTTTAAAGGCTCAAAAATCCATTTTATATGTGTTCACAGCCCAAGGATGTTCCAGGGCCGTAAACACATGATTTTGGTCCTAAATCATATATAAATCACGAATTTGAAGGCTAAGGATGATATACTAGGAGTTGGGGAAGATACCTTGATGATTTGAAGCCTTAAATTGATGTTTTTGGACCCTTAGACTTGATTTGAGGAAAGAGGTTAGAGAGAGAGTAGTGAGAGAGAGGAAAGGCTTCAAATAAAGTCTTTTGAGCTTTAAATAGGTCGTAAGTCCGGGACACGGTGGAATTCTACCCGATACCGACGTTAAACGGGGCTTTTGGTCACACCCGATTAAGTCGTCGTAACCCGGTGGGAAATTTTCTAAAATTTATGTAATTATCATATTGGGGTGTTTTCTTGAGTTTCTAATGGGTTTGGATACTAATTAAGTCATAATAGAAGTCTCGGAATAAATGACTTAATTTTAAAAACGTAAGCGGATATGATTTGAAAATGACGAATTTTATAGACGGAAACGGCTTTCGGCGATGGTACGAACTTCGGGTTGTCACAAAGGTGCACCTCAAGGCGTATGCTTCTGACGAGTTTAAAAACGATGCTTACACCTGTGCTACAAAGTCACTTAACCTTATAATATCTCCCTCAATAATATTCATAAGAATCTATTCTCAAAAATAATAATGTACTTTATAAAATAAATCATTATACCCTACCAATGGAACAAAAAATTTTCAATTTCTACTCTCATTCTAAAAAGTGAAACGATGTGGGGATAAAAATTTACTGTCAATCTTCCATTTGTGCAACAGAAATTAACGCCCTTCTTATCCTCCTAATAAAAAAAATAGCCTTCAAAAGGTAGTCCTGTCACATTAACTACTAACTAATGCAACAAATAAAACATAGACATAGATAGTACTATATTATCCAATAAAACAAAATATTAAACATATGGATCATATTTAAAACATAATTATCCAAAAACAAGCAAAAACTCTATTTTTTTATCCAAAAACCATGAAGAAATAATTCAAAATTTACTCATCGCTTAGCCAACAAACTTCCATTCCTTTTCTCCAAATTCCCCATTTCCAGTTCACTTCCGGCCACCGAGCCTTACGCCTCGCGATAAAACTTTTTCGATACAACGGCAACAACATCACAGTGTATAAGCAATGAAACATCAACAAACTACACACATTGATCCAACACAGAAGAAACCGATGAAAAAGTCAACAAAGGGTCAACCAACAACAAATATGCACAAAATGTTTTCAACCCTTTTCTCCTATCCCAAGTCTCCCAACCTTCCAGATCATAACATGCCTCTAATTGCAACCACACATCTCAGTTAGTAAATAAAGAATTCACATTATGGAAAACTGTGAACAACTTCTCAAGGGTAAATTTAGAAAACCCAACTACCCATCTCTCCCACTTTCATGAATCGACTTTTAGATTTTCGACTGTTTTTATAAATGGGAATTTTAAGAGTAAGGATCTGATGTATGAAGACTAGAGCGAAAGGGTTTTTAGATAATTTTGGAACTTTTTTACTGTAAATGAGTGTAATGAGTGTGTAAATGAGTGTAATGAGTGTGTAAATGAGTCAGCATGATGAAGGGCAAGATGGAGGTGAGATGACATGGGAGCTTCGATGTAAAGTGAAGTGGGTTTTATGCATACGAGTCTTAGTGTAATGAGTGTGTGTGTGTGTGTGATTAGGGTTAAAGATGTTGGGGCATTGGATACAGCACATCGACAGGTTTTTAGGTTAACAAGGTTGATTTTGGAGAGTTTTAGACCTCCGACACCTACCAAGTTAAGAACTTGAAGATTTGGGAAGGATTTGTTCAACATGTTTAGGTCTTCATAGTCTAATCTTATGAATTCAAGCGTTAAGTTGTTGGCATTAGCATTGCACTCATGTTTTCTACAGAAAGCCATGCGTTCTTCACCTCTAATTGAAAAATATTATTACATGCATCAATGAAAACTAAGTGAATCGATTAGCTAGCAATCATCTATGGTTGAAAAGAAACACTAGGTGACAGTGGCGGAACCAGAAATTTTGATATGGGGTGCAAACATTGTCAATATATATATATTATATGTAGTTATCCAATTTTAGATATTAAAAAAACATGTTATAATCTCTTTAGTTGGGAGTACAATAACATGAAAAATGTTTATAAATAATAGTTTATATATATATATATAAAATAATTTTTTGGGGGTACTGTAGTACCCCCAACGCCCCATCTAGCTCCGCCACTGCTAGGTGAAATTAAGAACATATACAGGTACATGAGATTCGTAATGTCAGATCACAGAGAAGGATTTTATCATTTTGCATCAGTAGATAATGAATTTTTCAATATACGAACAGCATCTGCAGAGAATGAATAACATAAATTAGAATTCTTGCATATATGAGGAACTTACAGTACGTAGAAACTAAACAAAATCTCCATAATCTCCATGGGTGAGGTACAGATCATCAGCGTCATCCTTAACGTCATCGTACGACACATCTCAGAGCGATTTCTTGGTGCCTATACACACCGAATCGACAACCCTCAAATTTGAGACAAGATTGAGGAAAACTGTCTTGAAAGGAGTAACAGATTGGGACGAACTTGAAGAATTCAATAACTTAGACCTTGGTTTGATGTACCTTTCCAATGAGCATTGAAGATTGATTGATCGAAGTTCTGGAGAGACGGTACCAAAAGCCTTCCAAGCTAGTCGGTAGCGAGCTACGTTGGTCAAGTCGTCAATTCGACTCAGTATATAGAGGGCTATTTCTTCGGGAAGTTTATCCATTGGACCAAGTGAGATACACAAGAAAAGAGAAAAAATTTGGTTGAAATACTTATACCCCTTTATTTTACAATAACATCATGGTTTATTGGTATATGTGTTATGAAAAGATATGTAAATCCAAATGAAGTAATTTTTACAATATAGCATGGAATCAATAGAAATTTTGACAGTTGAACTTTGGATTTGATCTTCTTATCTCCTCACCATAAGACCATAACATGGCATAGTTGTCTGTAATTGTACCTTGAACTAGAGTAAATGCATATCTCTTGGCTCTCCTACACTGACTCATACTCACTTCGATGACAAATGTATTTTTCACCTCCTCTCTAAGCAGCCTAACACACATATTTTGATTGTTTACAAATTCTTGGGTGAAATGGCTTCCTATCCATCTGTAAGTGACAATTGACCCAAATTTAAAATTTCTAGCACAATTGTGTTCAATTAATAGAGACTTGATTTGGAAAGACTTATCATCACTCATCCATGACCCTCAAATCTGAAAAATATACTTTCCATCACAACATTAACCTAACAGCCTTCTACTATCATTTTTGTTAAAACATAGTTGATAACCATTAGCAACTCTATAATTGCATAACATGTGTTTGAGTTGTTTGGAATTCTCAAACCTTATACCTAACACGGTTTGTTGCTCCTTCCAAGGTTGCTCTTCATTGAACCTATTTGGCAAATTAGTAGCAACATCAGCCTCATCATCTTCATTCTCCCCTATGTCAGCATCAACAGGTTCGCATTCACTTACATTCTCACCCATGTCACAATTTGGGCCGTTGTCATCGGTATGCCCTGTGTCATCTGTTTCACCATCATCAACAATTTCTTCCTGGATATTATCAAGCACTTCCTCGCCTTCTTCATCCAACCAATCATTGATGTTAGCAGTACCAAAATGGTTTGCATACAATGGGAGTTCAACAACACATTCATACACAATGGTTATAAAATCAGCATAATCAAGTTTGTTTGTAATTAACCTCAAATGTTTTGGAAAATCGATATCATGAAGACAATAATACAGTTTCTCACATTTTTCTCCTATGAATCTGTCCATGAAAGCGTAGAAATCCTTCTTGTTCATGGCGGCGAAATCAATGTCACATATTCTCTAATTAGTACCATTGGCGTATCGTATGGGGTACCTTTGAAAGATGCCTAGAAAGTACACATGGACAATGATGTAGACAGCCATGGTAAAACAAGAAATTAGAGTATTGGAAATAAAAAAACAATCGACAGAGATGGCTGATGGTGTGTTTTAGAGTTGATGAAGTATTGTCGGTAGCTCATTAAAAACCCTAACGCGACACAGTCAACATTTAAACGTGACAATTTTAAAAGATGTGGCACATATATTACCAACTGACCCCTTCAACTCTGATAATAGGACCAAATTGACCCGACAAAAACCATTTTGTTCCCTTAGAGGGCACACAAAAAAAAAACTTTATGGACTGAATGCGCAAAGTCAAAAAAACATAATAGAGTCGTTGCGTCTTTACCCTAAGTTTAGTTATAAAAAAAAATAATAACTTTTTTTATTTTACCTAAAAAGTTTTTTTATCGATTAAGACCGCAAAAATTTATTATAGTCTTTTTTATTCAAAGTTTTTCAGAAAAAAAAAATCCATAAAATAGTTAAGAAACTGAAAAATGCGAAGAAAAAAAAAAAAAAAAAAAAAAAAAAACCCATAACTTTTGCAACTAGGTAGCATGGGAGTATGTAGATTTTAATAGTTATATGTGATTTTTTTTCAAACTTTAAATCATTATAACTCTTTCATGTAATCTATGTTCAAGCTGAATTCTTTTTCATTATGTTCTATGTAATTTCATGGACATATTACACTTCAAATTTAGATATCGGAAAGTCGCACATTTTAGCTCCAAAATAGATTAGGCGGTGAAAACACGAAAAATAAAAAACAAGTTTGTTAATTCATAAATTCACATACGAACTCCGTTTGAATTTTTAAAAAATTCATTATGTTCTTTCTAACAAAAGCTTTCGTTAGACATATTATTTTCCCAATTTGGATGTCAAAAAGTCATATTTTTTAGCTCAAAAGTAGATTATTCCGTGAAAATTATGAAAAACAAAATCTCATAGCTTTTACATACCAACTTAATAACAATCATCATACTATTTGGGTTCTCCCTCACAAGGTGGCCTAAAAAAATCTCTCTCAAAAAAAAAAAAAAAAAAAAAAAAAAAAAAAACATTTTCGCATAGGAACTTCATAAAAATCCTTATATCATTTGAGTTCTCTCAAACACAAAGACGACCTACAAAAATGTGAAAAAAATAAAATCGTTTTCGCATACCACCTAGATTTCGCAGTGTTAACCTATGGAAATTCCAAAAGAAAAGAAACGTTTTTATACGCCACCCACATTTTTTTGTAGATAGTGACATGCTAATTTGGTATTTTCCATTTTGTGGTTATTTTATGATAAAACTTTGTGAAAAAGGTTAATACTACCACTTTCTCTTAAGATGTAATGTCCATTTCTGTTTAATGGTTTTGAAATAAGGTTGATAAATAATATTGAGTAATTATAAAATTAAAAACTAATTTTTGGAGGTTTGTCAAACAAATTAACTAAATAAAAGACATTATATAGCTATAAAGCTTCTAAATGACAATGATAATAATAGTAATTAACATAAATTTATTAAATCATTTATTTAAAATAATTTGAGTATAAAGGTTCGGGGGGCTAAGTGTAATTTCGAGAAAATCATTTAGGGGCTGTTTGTTTTTTGTGTGAAGATCTGCGCAACTACTTTTGTCTGCGCCGCGCAGACATATGCCATCGCAGATTGTTTGTTTTTTGGAAGTGCGCAGATCAGAAAACGTCTGCGCGAGGTCTTCCTGGCGCAGACATGGACCACTGTCTTCAAAGGTCTTCAGATCTCATTTTAACCTAAACCAAAAACAAAAAAAAAAAACATGGCCATCGTGCAGTTTTTTTTTCTTTCATTTTTTTGTTAAAATATATTTTTAATGTTTATAACATGAAATTAAGTTTAAAAATTCAATTTATTTTAACGGCTTGCTGACGTTAAAAACAAACAGTCTTCTTATTGCAGACTGCAGATATTTGGTCCACCTCTTCTGCCGCAGAGGCTTGCAGATGTGGTCCGCAGACTGCAGACATTTTGATTTAAAAAAAACAAACAGCACCTTAGACTAGACGGAGTCGATGCTCACTACCGGCTCGTTAGGGTCGCTAAGAGGAGGAGAACATTTCCCACTAGTGCTCGATAGGGGGCTCGCTAAACTTCCTTCGCTACCTCGTTGGCGAGATGAAAGAGAAACGAATGGAGGATTCTGATTGGTGGATGAATGAAAAAAAAAAAAAAAACATATAGATTAGGTGAGACTTCATCTATTGTCCAGGACTCTTGGTTCTCGATTGATAATCTAATTTTTGTGATTCTATGGAGGCTAGGCAAGGGCACGGGAAATTGAAAAGATGAAATTTGTAATTGCCAATCGATTCCTAGAAAGACGAACGGTCAAAGATGTAGAAGACGAGGAGTCGACTATCTCATGTCAATATCTTTCTTTGAACTCCCGATTTCTGGATATTGCTTGTCCCTCTCGGCCTCTCCCATTTGAATCGTTCTCATTAGTCATTCAATCTCTTAAAATTAACTCCTGATTTTTAGATATCATCCCCCATTCGATTTTATTAATATGAAGAATGAAAAGTGAAGACATGAGTTCTGAGTTTAAATTTCACTTCAACCTTCAGTTGGTAGGGTTTTTTATTTGATTATTCTAAGTTCTAGTTTCTGAATTTTTGGAATTCATATCTTCAGTTTTTATCTTTAATTACTCATTTTTATGTTTTGATTTAGGAGGTATTTTTTCTAATCTATTTTTTTTTTTAATATCTACAGCCAATGGTATAATTTTTATGTGTTGATATTTGATTTTCTATAATGTTTGTGCTTCAGCTAGTAAGGCTTTTGATCCAACAATTTTGCGTTTTGTATTATCTTATTAGCTTATCTGATTGTTTCTTATCTCAAGTCTCTCATATTCAAGATTATGATGCCCTTGGTTTGATTAGTATGCCCTTTGTTAATTTGACTATCTTAAGATTGAAAACAAGTTATCATTCTAGTTTATGTTGATGCTAATTAAGGTAGTCTTTTATGCTGATGAAAAGGTAGTTATCTCCATATGTTAATTCATTAATTTTTCTGAATATCTAAACAATATGTTGACGGTAACGTAGTCTTTTATCTCAATAATTTTCAGTTACACATGTCAGTACCCCTTAACTTGCTAATCTTTATGTTTTTAGATAAATGCCAAAAACGGAGTTCCTTTCACATCTATTTATCATGTTAACATGAGATATAAGTGGTGAGGTTGTCAAGCAAAAAGAAACTGTTGAGGAATTGAAGCAAGCAGGCTAATTTGGTAGGGATTTTTCTTCAAAGAATGCAAAAAACATTGTTATATGTGATTTTTGTAGGTTTTTGTGGTTATTAATAAGAATTTTATCTAAATGTAAAATATATTGCACTTTTGTTATTAAAAAATTTTGTATATGTGTTTAATGTATTGTACTGCACAAACGGATGTTGCACTTTTGTTATATGTGTTTGGTCTAAATGTAAAATATATTGCATATTTGTACTTTTTTGTATATGTGTTTGGTCTAAATGTAAAATATATTGTACTTTCGTTAATTAATTTTGAAAATGAAAAAATAGAGTGTTAGGAGTGTTATCACTCCTTCCCAAATACTAAGAATAAGGTGCTAATAGAGAAAAATAATGTGGAACACAAAAAGATGATGTGGCAAGGTGCTAGGAGTGTTACCACTCCCCCTAACCTTATGTATTAGGATTTCGAAATTGGGGTAATTACTGTCATTATTATTAGTTCAAGGAACAGTGTCAAAGTGGGAAAATCTAGAGAATCACTAAGGTGGTTTTTGTTTTTTGTCCGAAGATCGTCTTAGCCTCTTCTGCCTATGACGTGCAGACTCTTTGTATTTTTGAAGATTGCAGACCTAAAAAGGTTTGCTCGTCCTCTTCGCAGATGTGGACCAGCGTCTCCAAACATTTGAAAACATCTTCTACCCTGAAACACACACACACACACACACATATATATATATATATATATATATATATATATATATATATATATATATATATATATATATATATATATATATATATATATATATAAACTTAGATTTATTCTAACTTTATCTATGATAAACAATTTGGAAAAAAAAAAGTTACAATACTTAAAGTAAAAAAATGCTTGACAACACAATCATGACTTTTGTGACAAATTTATAAATAAAAATGTAATTACAATAATGGTCTTTAGAGCTGTTTATAAAGAAATGAAGAAAAAAAATCATAATATTGTGTTATATTTTTTGTGCCAAATTTTATAAAACATTATTTAATGCAATATCATTTATTTCATGGGATAAATACTTATGGCCAGTTTTTAATTGGTTTAATTGAAAAAAGTAAAATGAAAATTTAAAATTTTCATTTAAAATAAAGTTCTCTCTCAATCCATTTTACATGTTAAATTTATTTATCCTTAATTACAATGTTTATGTATATCTTTGCGACCAAAGTTTGCTTATTTTTATCAAATATATGTGTTAATTCGTACCATTTTATTTTCGTTTTTTATACAATAATACCTAATAGTCAATCTACATTTGTTAACTATCTATAAAAAATTCATAAGTTATTGAAAAACTCATTTAAGCTTAAAAAAATCGTTTTAATTAGATTTTAATTTATTCTAGTAGTATGCAGATGTTAATAAACAAACATTCTTCTTGTTGTAACAATCTAGACATTTGGTCCACATCTTCTACTACAGAGGTCTACAAGTGTGGTTCATAGACTGCATACATTTTGCCTTAGAAAAAACAAACAGCACCTAAGAGAAAGAAAAAAGATTAAACAGGAAGAGAGTAGAAACTGGGTAGATCCTGAAAGACTTTTCATGAAGTCTTTTAATGAAACCTCAGTGGGGTTTTCTGCATACGAGAAGAGTCTGAGGAGAGACTAAGATTCCCGTCTTTTAGCTTCAACAAGGAAAATCAGGAGAGAGCTCTCGAACGATGAGGAGTTAGGGTTGCTGTTAGGTTATGGGGAAGGAGCAACAAGTTGAGGCAGGTCCGGTCACGTGAAACCCTAGTAAAGTGGTTGAAGCTCATATTGAAGGTGTTCTAGTGGTGAAAAACAGATGGAGAATTTGAATCTGATAGGGAGGAGTTGTTGTCGACGCGTAGCTTTACAGGATGATGTTAGGTAAGACTGAAATTGCTTATGTATAAGCTTTGACTTTTGATTAATTCTTTTGTTTGGAATTAGGTTTTGGACTCACCTGGATTAACCTTGATCTGACAAGTCATGAATCGGTTTGCTAATTGGTATTCTTCTAGTGGGCTAAAGCTAAGGACCTATGGGCTAGAGTTATATTGGTTCAAAGATTATAGTCCATTTTAATTTGATCGAAAATATAACTTTTGAATAAATTTAAATACATTCATAGATTCAAGTAAATGGTGTGTCATATTATTACTTATAACTTTATTAAAGATGGAATTTATCTTCAAAACAATAAATTATATGAGACAATGTATTATCATTTGACGAAAATATATACATTAAAATGAAGATGTAAGAGTTTAAACATAAAATGCCCTTTTACCTACAAGTGTTTAAAACAATAAGTAAACCTCGATTTCAGGTTTCATGTGTAACGCTCTGTTCCAAATCGTTACCCAATTGGGTGTGGGTGATGTAATATAGATGATTTGGGCATTCGAATTTGGTTTTTGATCGAAGGGGTATTTTGGTAAAATGGCATTGGGTTTTTATTAGATTGAGTTTGTGTTCAGGAAATTTTATGGCAAGTATGAGTTGATTAAAGTGTTGAGCTTCTCGTTACCTTTGCATTGATATAAGGATTGTCGAAATTGGATTTATAACGAAGAAGTTATGGCCTTCGGAGTATTTTAGGGTTTAAGAGGGAACCCTAGTACGCGCGGCGTACAAAGGGAATACGGAGTGTGTACATTTGCAAAAGGCAGTACGCAGGGCGTACATTAGTGTACGCTTTACGTACCGAAAAGGAATAATCGCGAACCTCGGCCTCATACATTGGGCGTATGAGGAGTACATTGGGCATACAAGGGGTGCTTAAACTCTAATTTTTGAGCAAGTGTTCCCTATTTAAGCATCTTAGGTCTTTACGGTTGGCCTCCTTACCAGCCCATAAACCTCTAAAACCTGAAATCAACCATTTTAGCCTCTTGCTGGTGCTCGTGAGCTATTAAGAAGACTTTGGTTCTCATTTTTGCCTTTGTGAAGGATGTAGAGATGCTGGAAGTTGCTTTTCTTGGTGA